CACCTTTTTACACTTGGCTAAACTATTCTGCACCTTTTTACACTTGGCTAAACTACTCTGCACCTTTTTACACTTGGGTAAACTACTCTTTAACCTTTTTACACTTGGCTAAACTACTCTCCACCTTTTTACACTTGGCTAAACTATTCTGCACCTTTTTACACTTGGCTAAACTACTCTGCACCTTTTTACACTTGGCTAAACTACTCTCCACCTTTTTACACTTGGCTAATCTATTCTGCACCTTTTTACACTTGGCTAAACTACTTTACACCTTTTTACACTTGGCTAAACTACTCTACAACTTTTTACACTTGACTAAACTACTCTGCACCTTTTTACACTTGACTAAACTACTCTACACCTTTTTACAGTTGGCTAAACTACTCTGCACCTTTTTACACTTGGGTAAACTACTCTGCACCTTTTTAGACTTGGCTAACTACTCTACCTCTTTTTACACTTGGCTAAACTACTCTACACCTTTTTACACTTGACTAAACTACTCTGCACCTTTTTACACTTGGCTAAACTACTTTGCACCTTTTTACACTTGACTACACTACTCTACACCTTTTTACACTTGGCTAAACTACTCCGCACCTTTTTACACTTGGGTAAACTACTCTTTAACCTTTTTACACTTGTCTAAACTACTCTCCACCTTTTTACACTTGGCTAATCTATTCTGCACCTTTTTACACTTGGCTAAACTACTTTGCACCTTTTTACACTTGGCTAAACTACTCTACACATTTTTACACTTGGCTAAACTACTCTGCACCTTTTTACACTTTGCTAAACTATTCTGCACCTTTTTACACTTGGCTAAACTACTTTGCACCTTTTTACACTTGACTACACTACTCTACACCTTTTTACACTTGGCTAAACTACTCTTCACCTTTTTACACTTGGCTAAACTACTCTATACCTTTTGCACACAGTTGTGCATCATCTAAATGGACAGAAACGGAGTTCCTTGCACAAATGTTATGACATAACTCTGCTGGATTGATGTACACTATTTTTAACCTGGAATATATCCCAAAATTCATTCCAGTTGCAATTTAATGCATATTGGTAATACATTGTATTCTGACAAAGTGTTATATAAAATCAAGGACTTTTCAAGGCATACGCATGAATAAAACTACTTGCCCAGTCCTTTTGTAAACTTACATGACTTTCTTGATTAATTTAATTGTCTCCCTGTTCATATTTAATGACTTTTCAGAATGTGACCACCATGTTATAATTTCTACATACAATTTTTTTCACTTAGCACATACTTCTGACATATCCATTCTCTCCATTTTGTTCGTCCACTGTGTTGTTGTTTGTAGAACTGTCACCGCCATTTGGAGTGGTCTCCCTGCAAATACACACAATGATATAGTTTGTTTTGGTTTGTTTGTGTTTTACATCCTATTAACAGCTATGGTCATTACAGGATTTCCATATTTTGGTGGTGGAGGAAAACTTAAGTTTGAGAAACATCTGTCAAGTCCTTCTTGGGAAGTACTGATAACAAACTTGAACTGTTGAAATCCAAGATGGGTGCCTGGCAGCCATCTTGTTTTTCTGATCAGTCTCCAAATCACATACACAACTATAGACCAAAGCTACCTTCAATGAAATTTTAGATACAGAAAAATGATAGGATATTCTTTTTAAAGATAGACAATGGACAGATGGATGAACTGACCATGAATGAAGGCAATTTGAACAGCACCCTGTCCTCTCAAAGTTTTTTCAACACATGCAAAAAAAGTGGACAGTGGACATAGCCCTGTTACATAAACTCACCAGTACTTTATGGGAGAAAAAAAGCACAGATGTGACAAGACCTTGTTAATATTGAGTTTGTTTTGTTTTAATCAGTAAAAACTCGTTCAAATGATTCATATTAGCATCAAGTCACCTTAAAATTTCAATGTACAGAAAACTATGTCCGACATAATGTTTTGTTACAAAATCTGAGCTCTATAGGCTTGTCACAAAATATCACACAAAACTAGTATGTGGATGTTTTATTTATTTAAGCCTGTATCCTTTGATGGGAACAGATTATACATTACTAGATATAATACACCTACAATCAGATTACATACAGGTAAACTATTACCACAGGGTATTATAATGAAACTAGAATCAGTCTATTCAGAGTTATACTGTTGATATACCAGAGTTTTGTAACATGTTGGGAAAAGTCCATGGGACATAGTTATTTCTCCACCACCTGAGCAATACAAAAGGCCCAGAGTTCCTGTATCTCTCACCTTGATATGTTTTAACAATCACAGCAAAATAGCTTCATTAAATATAATATTGCAAATATTTCCCAATTATGGCTCTGTCTCGCAGATTCCAGGGGAAACAACTTCCTTTATGCAATATTTAAATATCTGGTTCCAAGGATGCCTAATAGAAATTTGGTTGAAATAGGATCAACTTGTCAGGAGGAGTAGACTTTCAAATAATTAACTCATTCATCCCTGAAATTTCATAATGTACTATCCCAAGCTTTGAATTGGAAGAGTTCAAATGTGTTTTTAGGGGTGAATGAGTTAATGACAATTATGAATGACGAATGCCATGGTACAGCATAGTTCGCCTTTGTCCTGCTGTCCAAGTGATCTTATAATCGTTGACACTTCCACCCAGTCCAGATTTAATACTCTCTTCCAGCATCTTTAACATATTCATCCCTGAAGTTTCATAATGAATTATTCCAACCTTTGAATTAGAAGAGTTCAAATGTGTCTTCAGGGGTGTATTAGTTAAAAGCCTTGGACACTGAAAACTTCTACTTTGTACTTATATTCTGTGAATTGCCTTTTGTACACAGTACCTAGAGGGTATTGAATGGTTTCCTATTGAAACCCATTTGAATTTCACAAATATGGCAGAATACCGATATTTTTTCACGAGTGAAAAATACAAGTGAAAAACATTGGTATATTGTTCTATTAGAGTTTCAATGTAAGCACACCTCACAATTGTGAATAATTCAGATATCTACCATACATATAGCTACATTCCTGGCAGGATCATTTATACCATATAACCTAAGAATGAACATTTTGATATACTTATAGTCGTCAAATATTGGGATTTACTTTCTTCATACCTGGTATATGTTGCAGTTACCTGTATATTTTATCTGCCAAAAATTTACCTTTAGATATGTCAGTGAACTAATCGTAAAACATTTTAGTCAGGCCCTTACACAATTTCGCTGACTTTCACATTTTCTATACGGCTTTGTTGATGATATCATCACTCAAAACGGTTTCCTATCCAATTTTACATTAACGGTCACACTCTGACCACTCAACCAAATCCTCTATCTAAAAGCGCTCTTACTATTGGCAGCCAAGCGGGACATCTTAAAGATTAAGATAAAAATAAATGTCTGTTTCCTAGCTATTACCAAGTATGTGTCCTGTATACATTAATTTTTTTGGTGTGTACAATATTATCATACAGAACTCCAGTTTTACTCACTGAGGTAAGAAGCAATATTATTGACACTCAAGTAAGAGGCAGAAAGCCAGAAACACTACTAAGTATTGTAATAGACCTAATAAGTACACCCTGCCCATATAAGCACACCACACTTTTTTTTTCTGGGAAAGAAGATGGATGTGCTTTATAGAAACCCATAAAAAAGTTGATTACAAATTGATCTGCCAATATACTCTTCAGTCTAATGTTCAAAGAACTTATGCTATGTTTACTTTACTTGGTAACATAAGCCAGTTGTCTAGCATCATATTCTGATTCAAGATAAGGTCAATTGTGTCCATAAAAGATATTTGATTCGTCCATTGAAAGATTGCAGAAATGTTTGGGAGGTCAGCATCCTCGACACCCAGGGGTTACGCCATGTACAATCTCTGCGCCCCTGGAATATGTCATAGAAAAATTGAAGGCATAAAGATAGCTATTTGATTGGTGTCAAATACAAAAACTGACCAATGGCTAGGCTGATGATACCTGTCCTTTGAAGATAATAAAAGTACAAAGAGGCCACACTATTTTTACCTTACAGGACCATGAGATTCTTTTGATGTACATCAAAGGATCAAACTAGTCTTCTTGTCTCGTCAACAAGGTGGTGCACACTGAGCCTTCGATTTGGCTAAGACATATTCCAGGGGTGTAGAGAGCGAAAGTGAACGAAACCCCTGGATATCGAGGATGGGGAGGTCAGTTTGAACACATACAGACATGGTCAAATATGGCTTGGTTGAGCATGTAAGGGATTTATGAAACACACCCCTCTCATGTTTTTGTAAGCACATAGTGGGCTTATTAGGTCAAATTACTATATATATATATCGGTACATTTATATACTAATATTAGGCAATGGAAAAAAAGGCCGTATGATACAGTTAAAATGCTCATATTCTGCATCAATTACTTTCTGAACTTTTAGATAGGTGCTCCTTTACTTCTAGTACCCTGGTAATAAACTTTTAGCAGATCACAGCCTAACAACATAATTACCACAATAGGAATCTACAAAGTAAATTATGGTGACAGAATTCTCAATAAAGTTTTGTAATAGGAGGTTGAAACAGTTGGAGATATTTTTCATACCAAACACAGTCATGATATTAAATCATGAATATTTTACAGGGTACAAAAGTAGCCGACAACAATAACAAATTAAAGTTCCCAGTAATGCTGTGTGCTGAAAACTCTGGCCAATGGGATGATTCATTCATGTTTTACCTGTCTATATAAAACTGTAGTTTTATTTTTACCTTTTTACTATTATGAGTGTGGGTGAAGATGTTATCATGATACACGAATGAAAAATGTGAAAACTCCCCACAAAATGTATCATGTACTCTTTCACCACAATGTAACTTTAGTAAACTCTTCAATGCTTTGATCTGGAGGAGTCCATTATGGTCTACAGTGATGAAAGGGTTGATTTTTCATATACTAGGAGGAAATCAGGCAAAATTCCACGAGAGTGAGTAAAGTGTTCCAGATGAAATAAACCCTATGACAGTGCCTGCTTCAGTCATCGACCAAACGCTATCCCCTTAATAAAGGATAAACACTATTTGGTACGGTGAATTGTTTTGGTTTACAGCCTATTAACAGCTATGGCATTTAAGGACATGCCAGGTTTTGGTTGTGGAGGGAAACCAAAGTATCCACTGGGCCACAGACAAACAATGCAAGAGGCCCAGAGGGCCTGTATCGCTCACCAGGATATTTGAGCAATCATTGGAAAGTATTCTTAATAAAGGTACTTTTGTACTTTTGCAAATATTTCCATATATGAAATGCAGAAGAAGTTGTTAAAAGACATTTACATATATGACCCCTGTGACCTTGAAAGCAGGTCAAGGTCATTTATGTGGGCAAAGTTTATAGCACTCTGTCCCAGGTACCTACTGGCCAAATAGCGTTGCTCTAGGCCTTTTTGTTATTCAAACGAAGATATTTAAAGGTTTTAAACACATTTGATACTTGTGATCTTTAAAGTAGGTCAAGGTCATTTATTTGAGGAAACTTTATAGCACTCTGTCCCAGGTGCCTAATGGCATAATACCATCGCCTCCAGTTATTAAGAAGAAGTCTCTCAAAGAAAAAATTAAGGGACGAAGGACGACGGACAACACACGATACCAAGCTCATCTGCTAAAAATATGTTGATACCAAGTTTGATTATTTGCCATACATAATAAGTCCTGTCAAATGTGTGCAAACAATATTGTTTATAGATATTGTTATGGGATACAGACCTGAAAATTGTTTATAGATATTGTTAAAGGATACGGTTCTCAATATAATGACTCAAACTCAAGTCCCTATAGGGGTGTGGCCAGACCCCAGAGTTAATTCTAATATCATGATTGTATATATAGTTATTTGCTGTAGAATCATTTCTTTTCGTGGGGTTAACATTTTGTGGTTTTCATATAATAGCCTTTTTCAAGGACATTATATTTCGCTGATTTCTGATTTTCCCCTATCTATATCATACAATTTTTTTGTATTCGGGGGATTTAATTTCGTGGATTTTTGTTATCCATGAAAGAAACGAAAATTAATGTCCCACGAAAATTTATGATTTTACAGTATGGTGTTATAGGATGGGAATCTCTCAGGGTGCGGCCAGACCCCAGTGTTCTCCTTATATCAAGATTGTGATTTATCTCTATGCCCCGCAATTTTATATATGACTATGGGGTGGGGACACCGTTATGACACAGGATGTAAGTCTCCTATGGTGGGGCCAGTGCATTTGTCTCTTCCTACTCAGCAATCGTATAAATGGTCAAACATTGGGGATCTTAATAACTTCCAAGTAACAAATACTAGTACCAGGTAAATACACATTTTGG